GTTCATCGACTGCCCAAAGTTGCTCGCCACTGGCCCGGGACTGTGAAATAGGAAAGTAAGGTAGATGCCTAGAAGTTACATCAAGAGCAACAACTTACTTGATTGAGTTCACTCTAATCCCCAGCGGTCCAAGGTCGAGGGCACTGGTGGGGAAAGTTTTGAAAATTAAAACATGTCTCTTCAGTCCACTTCAAGCATTACCTGGTTTTGGTGACCATATCCAGGGCTGCCTTGCTGGCATTGTACGCCAAAAACTTGGCCGTCTGATCGGGTGAAAAGTTGGCGTTTTAGTGAACTGCTTTTCTCTGCTTCATCTTCTGTACTGCTCTGACTTACCGCCTTTATGCCGGCGATGGAAGAGATGTTGAGGACATTGCCGCCAAAGGTGCTCTTGGCAAGGTAGGGCAAGGCCAGCTGCGTCATCTCCACCACCGAGCGCACATTGAGGCGCATCACCTGGTCGTACTCCGTCAGCATGTTCGCCTGGTCGAAGCCGCCGTAGGGCGTCGCCGCGCCGGCATTGTTCACCAGAATGTCAATGCCGCCAAAACGGGCGACGGCCGCCTGCACCAGCTGCCCTGGAAAGGCGTCATCCAGCAGGCTGCCCACCACCTGCAGCGGCTCAGCACCGCCCGGCGCAGCGGCCTTGATGCGCTCGGCGACCAGCGCCAGGGCGTCGCCGTTGCGTCCGGTGATGACCACCAGGGCGCCATTGGCGGCCAGCTTGAGGGCAATCTCGGCGCCGATGCCCGAGCTGGAGCCGGTGACGATCGCCACGCGGTTGTTCAGGTCGTACTTTGCCATGGCTTCCCTAATGGTGGTGTCCGTGGGAAGATAAAAAATTGAGGAACTGCTCAAAACGAGAATGATAGATCTTTTGGATGGTGAATGTTTCAGCTTTTATATCAACGTCAGTGGTGGCCATTGTTTGGTGGGTAGCTGTTGTTGCTGCCAGCAACAAACAGAGGTGCACTTTGCCGTACATTTCGTTCCGTTCACACCAGTCAAAAGTAAAGTGTTTATAAAGCAATAGTTGATTTTGTAGTAAAGTTGTAGCTATAATTTATTTACTCAACATGAACTGTACTGCACGAAATGTACGACTAAATTTTTCAAAATCAATTTTTATTTGAACTTTGCCCTTTTGAACTTTGATATTTCTGGTGTAGAAAGAATTTATTTCTTTATAATGTCCTCTTTTTCAATAAAAAAAATTTTTGTTTTTTTAAAGCAAAATCTGCTGCAATCTGTTACGCATCAGGCTGTTCAGTAAACAAGTGTACGACTTGAAAACGTCACTGACGCCAGAGAGCATCTTTTCAGCCACCACAGACATTTGCTGCCTCAGTCAGTCTCGAGCATCCACTTTGTTTAGTATTGCAACTGTGCATTTGCTTACTGAATTATCATTTTTTCAAAGTAAGTTTGCTTAAAAATTGCTAATTTGTGGGTTTTAAATCAAAGTTTTGTTTCAGTGAGTGTCAACAGTATCCCTCCGCCTTCTTACCGTCGGCGAATCTTTGCCGAAGATGACCCTTCAGCACTACGTCTCGGTGCAGTTAACATTTTCCCGACTTTTTTTGGCATGATGGAAAAAACACTCAAACCGGATGAATTTCCCCTCAATGACCGCTATGCTACTGCCTACAAAAGAGTCATTTCCACTATTATTTACCGCCTCGAACGATGTGATACTAAACTGCTAGTAGAGATTTCCCGTTTTGGTATGATTCAAGTGATCTCTGCTGTCGTATACTCGCTGGAAACTCCAAATATCTACAAAGATTTGAACTATTTTACACGAAACATATCCTTTGGGCCGACCCTACTACAGTTTAGTCAGTCGCCTCTCTACAAGGACTACCCCTCAACAACAAGGCTTTTTTGCGATCTATATAGCATGGAGTGGAAGTCGACAACAACAGTTGAGAAAACCCTTTACAGAGGAGTTTCTTTGCCTTTTCAAGGAGAAGTTGGTGACACTTTGTCTCTGATGCAGTTCACCTCTGCTTCAACTGATCGAGACGTTGCATTAAACTTTCTTCTTCAGCTACCAGGTACTCAAAGTGACTTGATTTTAGTGAATTGTTATTAAACGAAACTTTAATTTTTCAGCAAATAGCTCTACTAAAAACAAGCGAACAATTCAGGAGTTTATTGGCGGTCACCTAAGTGGTATTGACATGCAACACATTTCTGACTGTGCGGCAGAGCAGGAGGTGCTCCTTTTTCCCTATCAAACGTTTACCATTGTTGACATTGTTGAGGAGACAATCAACTCATTATCTGGTGAGCCTTTAACACTGCAGACCTTCAAACTGTGCTCTGAGCTGGTCACTGCTATGGACATTTTTGGCAAAGTCAGCAGGCACTTTCCGCCCTCTTCACTCCTATTCGCCAATGATGAAAACTTAAACGTGGAGTCAATAGATGAAAAGATTTTTCAGTTGAGTGGAAAACAACTAAAGTACTTTAAAAACTTTCAACTATCAAAACCAGAAACGTCGCTTGCTTTAAAGGAAACACTTCCTGAATACCACATCCTTGGGACTTGCACTCTCATAACTCAAATTCAAACTTATCCTCCAGTAGAAATCACCATTCTCGATGTTTCCGTTGTTCATGTAGTGCTTAACATTGCCGTCCTGGAAAAAGCCATCAGCAGCAACTGTCCAGTTTACCTTTGGCAGACGTTCAAGTATAATACAGCCACTGAGACAAACCATGCCTTAGCAGGGCCCACCAATACCATCCGTCTAGTGCCCAGAGCAGATGTGCTGGAGATATTGCGGGTGTGCAAACAAAAGTCAGAGAACTCTGCTGAAAAAACAAAACCAACCACTTACGTTATCAGCAATGGCCAACACTTTATTGCGGAAGAAGCGAAGCAGATTGAAGAGCTTTTTCCGCCAGAAGATCGTTCCCGTGCAGTGATTCGACACGTTGCTTCGAAACATTTTACTGCACGTTTCTTGCGTGACAATGTTTTGGTAATTGTCATGCAAGCTAACTGCACTCCTTTTACTTTTAATTTTACTTTGCCTTTTAACGAATTGCAAAAAAAAGTACGGATGTACAATTGGTTTGTTTTTTCTACTTAGTGTTTATAACGTTAATGTCACTTGTTGTACCCGACGAATGGTTTAATCTGTTTTATTACCTTTTAATTCTAATTGCTCTTTATTCAGTTTATTGGATTAAGAATCATGTCGCTCCTAACAATATTCCGCAAAACTAAATATGTTGTTAAATTAAATTAAAACGTTTTTAAATTCTCAAACAAAATTCTGTTAAAAAAGCGACTGAAGATATTTTCCGTGAAAGATGGCTTTATTGTCGAAAGGCCGGTGTTTACAATTTTTTCACGTGTTTTTCAATTTTTGTGTAAAGTGTTTTGAAAGCAATAGTTGATTTTGTAGTAAAGTTTTAGCTATAATTTATTTACTCAGCATGAACTGTACTGCACAAAATGTACTACTAAATTAATAATTTTTTTCAGAATCGATTTTTATTTGAACTTTGCCCTTTTGAACTTTGATATTTCTAATAAAAAAAATTTTAAATTTTTTTTAATAGAAAAAGTTTGTTGATATCAAAATCTGTTGCAACAACTTGAAATCAATTACGCATCAGTCTGTACACTAAGTCAATGTACATGTACAGTTTGCTGACGACAGAAAGCATCTTTGCATTTCTACAGACTTATGCCGTTTGAGTCAGTCTCAAGTATCCACTTTGTTTATTATTGCAGCTGTGCATTTGTTTACTGAATTCGCATCTTTTTAAAAGTAAGTTTGTCTAAAAATTGTTATTTTTGAGTTTTTTAATTAAAGTTACGTTTCAGTGAGTATCAGCAGTGTTCCTCAGCCTTCCTACTGTCGGCGAATTTTTACCGAAAATGACCCTTCTGCGCTACGTATCGGTGCAGTCAACATCTACCCGACTTTTTTTCGAATGATCGAAAAAACACTCAAACTGGATGAGTTTCCTCTCAGTGACAGTTATGCTGAAGCTTACAAAAAAGCCATCTCTATTGTTGCCGATCGCCTCAAACAATGCGATTCTAAATTGTTGGTAGAGATCGCCCGTTTTGGCATGATTCAGGTGATCTCACTTGTCGTCTACTCGCTGGAAACTCCAAAGATCTACGAAGACTTGAACTACTTCACACGAAACATATCTTTTACGCCGACCATACTACAACTGAGTCAGTCACCTCGTTACAAAAACTACCCTTCAACGGTAAAGCTTTTTTGCGATCTTATTAGCATGGAGGGAAAGTTGACGACGGCAGTTGAAAGAACTCTTTACCGAGGAGTATCTTCGCCGTCTCAAGGACGAGTTGGCGACACAGTGTCGTTAATGCAGTTTACCTCTGCTTCAACCGATCGAAATGAAGCGTTAAAATTTGTTCAGTCACAAGGTACCAAAATTTATCAATTTTTAGTTTAACAAAATTCATTTTAATAAAACATTTTATTTTTTTCAGTAAGTGGTTTTCCAAAAAATAAGCGAACAATTCAGGAGTTTATCGGCGGCCACATTAAAGGCATTGACATATTCCACATTTCCGATTGTGCTGCTGAGCAGGAAGTGCTGCTCATTCCATATCAAACGTTCACTATTGTAGATATTGTCGAAGAGACGATAACTTCACTCTCCGGTAAACCCTTAACATTGCAAACCTTTAAGTTGTACTCAGAACTTTCCACTGCTCTGAAGCTTTTTGACACTGTTAGCCGGCATTTTCCGCCCTCTTCACTTACTGTCGCTGTTGATGAAACATTCAATGTCGAATCAGAAGAAAGAAAGGTGTACCAACTGAGTGGGGAGCAGTTAAAGAATTTTCAACCATTAAAAATAGAAACTCCTTTTGTTTTGCAAGAAACACTGCCTGAATACCACATTTTAGGAACATGTACTATTACAACCAAAATACAAACTCCAGCTCTAGTTGGTCTACTGAAAGTCAGCCTTCTTGAAATCTCCGTTGTCCATGCAGTGCTCAACATTTCCGTCCTGGAGGAGGCCATTAGAAGTGACCGTCCAGTGTACCTTCGATTGGCGTTCAAGTACAGCCATGGTACAGCTACTGAGACTAATCCGGCCATGGCAGCTCCCACCACGGGCATTCAACTAGTGCCCAAAGCAGGGGTTCAACAGATACTGCAGGTGTGCAAACGGGAATCAGAAAAGACTGTTGAAAACCACGACACAAAACCAACCACCTACATTATTAGCAGTAATCAAAACCTTGATGAAACAAAAGAAAATGAGCAACAGATTGTGGAGTTTTTTCCGCTGGCGGCTCGTTCTCGAGTTGATATTCGACATGTTGCTTCGGAGCACTTTACTGCACTTTTTCTGCGCGACAATGTTCTGGTGTTTGTCATGCTTGCTCGCTGCCCCCCTTTCACCTTTCGCTTTGCTTTGCCTTTTACTGAACTGCAAAGTAGCGTACGAAAGTACATGGGATTTGTTTCCGTCTACCTAGTGATTTTATTGTTCATGTCTATTTTTTCAAGCGATGACTTGTACGATCAGTTTTCTTTTTTTTCAATTCCACTTGCTCTTTATTCGTTTGTTTGGATTTGGGAACATGTCATTCCTAACGATGTTCCACAAGATTAAATATGTTATTTTAATAAAAACATCAAATGTTCACTAAATTCCTAAATAAAGGGAGTTTGAAAAAGCGACCGAAAATATTTTCTGTGAGAGATGGCGTTACTGTCGAACGGCCGATGTTTACATTTTTTCACGTGTTTTTCAATTTTTGTGGATTCTCTTGCCAAAGATTCCGCAAACCGGCGCTAGATTTGCAGAATCATCCACATCGCAATGGCATTCTCTCGTTTGCCCTTGGCCGGGGCAACACTGGGACGATATCTGCCTCAAGTTTCAGGAAGCTTGATTCAATTTTCGCATCGTCTTGCCAAGCCGCTAAACGGTAGCTCTTTCAGCACACAAACGACGGCTGACGGCGATTCTCAAGCTTGCAAGTACCACTTTGCTCCACTTTCCACTCGTTCAGTGGTTCACATCTCTGGTCTGGAAACATGTGATTTCATGCAAGGTAGGAAAATACCAAGGTCAACAAATCATTGCTGGAAAAGCTAACACCAATTTTCCTTTTTTTCACCCAGGCCTTGTTACCAATGATGTTCGCCATTTACTCGACAATGGCTCTACCCCAGTTTCACAGAACTGTATATACTCCTTCATGCTCAACACCTCCGGTCGCATCCTCTTTGATCTGTTCATCTACAACTTTTCCCACCGCAATGACGAGCTGTTCATTGAAGTTGACAGTCAGCTGGCGTCTCATTTTGTGGCACTCTTGAAGCGGTACAAAGTGCGCCGAAAGATAGACATTAAGGTGAATGAGGCGGCCAAGGTGTTTACCCTCTACCCTGATGCACCGAAAGACGCTCAGAAGCTTCCAATTGAAGGCTCATCTGAGGGTGATCACCTGCTGGCGCATGATCCTCGAAACTACCACTTTGGATACCGCTTGCTCACTTTTGGCTCTGCACAAGTTGATGTCCCCCTGATACTGTCAGCCGAAAACTCCTCCTTCAAAGACGCCTCTTTCACCGAATCAGACACTGAAAAGTATCGCATCTTTCGCTACCAGAACGGTATTGCCGAGGGCTCTATTGACTTTCCACCCGAGACGATGTTTCCCTTTGAGGCCAATGCTGAACTTCTCAATGGAGTGAGCTTTCAGAAGGGTAACTTCAAAACTATCACTGATGATACATAGTCTTTTATATTAACCGTTTCTACTGTACTTTTTCAGGTTGCTACGTTGGCCAAGAGCTAACCGCTCGAACCTTTCACACTGGTGTCGTCCGGAAGCGACTAGTGCCATTTGAGCTGCTCATTGACGACTCCACTGCCGCTCAACTGGCGAACACTACTTTGCCGCTGCAAAATGTAGTCGAGACAGGCATCGACGACGGCGTTGCTGACGAGGGTGATGCCCCGAAGAAGGTCATGGGTCGATTCAAGGTGAACCAGGGTCGAATCGGCTTAGCGTCGCTCAAGCACGGCGAAATATTCACCGAAGACAAGAGCGAGTCCACTAACCTCAAACTGGACAAGTCCGGCTATCGAATGCGAGTTTGGCGGCCCTTTTGGTGGCCCGACAAAAAGTTCTAACTTTTTGTTTTGTTTACTACTTATTGTTGATGATTTTAAGCAGAGCAAACACACTTCTTTTGTACACTTGTTATTCGTAGTTGAGGAATATTTTTTTGGTGATCCTTCTGCCCCTCAAATGCTACTATGAACTGTTCCCAACTGTGCCTCTTTTCAACTAGTAAACTCGCCCTGCTTTCTCTGAGCAACTCCTTCATCATCTGGCTCCTTTTCTACTGCTACCTTCGCGTGGACGCACTGCTCTACGGCGACAGCGAGAGGGAGCACTGGAAGGTAACAATAACACTTGAGGGGTGATCAAGTAGACGACTAATCATTTCTAATTTCCATGCCCCCTCCACCTAGATCAAGGAAGAGCTGATCCACCGAGCGGTGGCCACCGCCTCTGAGATTGCCCTTCAGGTCGTCCTGCAGGTGGCCGTCCTGAAGCAGGAGTTCACCGTCATCGGCAGTGCCACCACCATGAACTTCCTCTTCATCGTCTACCACGGGACGCAGGTGGTGAAGAGCCAGCTGGAGTGGATCAACCTCCACTTCTCGGTAGTCCTCACGGCAGTGGGTCTGCTCTGCCTGCAAACACTCTATTGGATGATTCAGCGGGAGAAGGAACAGGAGAAGGAGACGACCACGACAACAACAGCAGAAGTGGAGAAAGGGAAAAAGAAGACGCCGCTAATTAATTAGCAGGCAAGTAACACTAGACTAGTTTAGTAAACGGTAAAGTAAAATCAGTCTACAGTAACTTATTGGATCGAAAAAAAGGTAATTTGGATTACATAACACAAGGTCACCTCGCAAGTTTTTTCTTTTGTTTAAAAATAAAAAAGTAACAAATCTAAAACACAAAAAATTACAAAGGCAACCGTAATTAAAACGAAATTTAAAAATCCGTTAAACGGAAGAAAATGAACCATCTTAGGTAACCAGTTGTAGCAAAAATCATAGTCAGAGTTTAGCTGAGTTCCTTGTAGGTAGTAGCCGAGTCGAGTTTCAATTAAATTTAGGTTTGATGCTAAAGAAATGCAACGATTGGGATGCGATGGTGATGGGTACAGCAGAGAGGGAATTAAATCATTGCCAATTAGCAGCTTTTCAGTGTATTCTTCAGGTACGTCAAACAGTGGAATACTCAAAACGTTGGCAATTTTAGAATACAGTGTTGAACTTATATTTGTTTGACTCGAAAAGAAAATCGAAGTCAATATAAGTTTTACTTTCGTAAATTCATTTCCATTTGGCATGCCAATTTCAATGTTCACTAGTTCTTCTTTATCATTATCTGCGTATAGTATAACCTTAAATGGTTCAACATTAAGCTCTTTGGCCAACTTGTCGCTTATATAAGAATTTCCAGCACCAGTATCAATACTAGCCCACACTGTTTTAGTACAATTTTCACTCTTCACTGTAACTGCAAGTTGAGAAGGTATGATGAACGGCATCAAGTTAGGGCTAATTGAAGAACTGCTGTTAAGCCATTGGCTGAAAAAAGAAATGATTGACATTTTGTAGGCTTCTTTAGTACCATTAGTTGCTGATAAAAGAATACTTAAATATAAAGTATATGCTGATTTGATGAAAGTTAAACGGTGCAAAAAAGTGACGCTTAGAAGACATTTGAAAAACAAAGCAAGTACACAACCAAACACAACATTAATAATAAACATATGAATGTAAATGGAAAGCATAAAAAAAGAACCTAAAATATAAAAAATTAATATTTGCTTATGGAAAGTATAAATAAAACTTACAGATAAGTTCGATCAGGTTTTTCTTGATGTCAGAAATATCCAAAGTCAAAATGTCGTTAATCTTTTCTTTTTGAGTTGATGAAATATCGATTTCATTAGTTTTCTTCGAGTGTAGCTTTTTCTTAATTTTTCGAATTTTAGTTCGATTTAGAGTCCACTGTTTGAATTTGTCGGTATCAAACTGTCCTAGAAAAGCTATTCCCATTTTTGTGCGAATGATGGCCAGTGATGGAGTGATGTGATATGTTGGTTGAATGGGATGTATGTTAAAGTGGGCATTCAGTAGGTCCTGGCCAATGATCATGTCAACGCGATACTGTGAACTGAAAGAACAGAAAGTAAGTTTGGGAACAAATATATTTAAAATCATGTGCTACATACTTTGGTTCATCTTCTGACCACATAGTTCTCCCCAGCTCACCCGATTCAACCATCGGCAGACCAAGTGAAACCATTTTTTTTACAACTAGGTTAACAGGCAAGTATTCCTTATGAAATGGAAAACACTCGTCGATCTCAATTGAAGTTGTTATTTTCACTGAAGCATTTTCAACTGATTGTAGCGTCAGTCCATATATTTTCTGATATAGATATCTTGTTAATTTATAAAAAGGAAAACAACATTTTCTAGGCCAAAAGTAATCACAAGTTGCACCATTTTCAATAAGCAAAGTTGCTAAATCGTGTGTAATGCTTGAAGAATAAGCTCCCGAGTCAAGCAGGGCTCTAAATGTGACTGTAAAACCTGATGAAGGTACTATTGCTCGAAGAAGTACTGTTGGGCAGACTTTGATTCTTTGTGGTGTTTTACAAAATGAAGAAGACTGCAATTTTGTAGTAGCACCGACAGAAGAAGCAGATTTAGCCATAACATCGTTGAGTTGGTCAGGACTGAAGCAGAGGAAGTTGAGGAAGGCATAAAACCAATTTGCCCATTGCGATGTGAAGGCAGTCGGGGGTGAGGCAGTAGTTGCTGGTGCAAACGTTTTCCGGTACAGTAAGATCAGAGGATTGATGATGAAGCTAACTGAAAAAGCGGTATTGTCCGCCATCGTTGCTGGCTCAAGCACGTGTGCTCAGGCTAGGCACTCACTCAGGCACAATCTATCTGCCACTTGTGTTCTGCTGTGTTGGACCTGAGCAGGCACTGCTGACCCCCTGATGAGGTGCCACAGTATGTCCTCTAGTGACCTCTAGTATCTGCACAAAACTGTTACACACAAAATCCTTAACAATCTGTATTAAGTACATTTTTTTTTATAAAAATCTTAGTTCTGCCGCATTTGTAATTTGAAAAAGTGCAAAATTGCGAGCGGTGACCCTCTTTACAAATATTTCAAAGCAATAACAAAAAGCACAAAAATGAGAATAGCAATAAAAAATCCTTTCCAACATTCATTAGTGAACAGGCTGAATTTGGGCTTCTTTTTGGGTGGATCATTCTTTCGACGACCTTTCACAGGGACCGCTGTGATTGAAATTTTTCCCTTATCATTTTTTTTGGTTTTAATATCATGATCCTTGTAGGGTACTAGAGCTGGTCTTTTCTTTTTCTTGTTCTTGTTCTTTTTCTTGTTCTTGTTCTTTTTTCGGTAGGAGGCCATGGCGCCCCAGCCGTTGGCCTTGGCCAGCTGGTGCGCCTTGACCGCCTCGCTGACGGTGCCAATCTGGTTGACCTTGAGGAGGAGGCAGTTGCAGGCCTTCTTCTGCACCGCCGTCTGAATGCGCTTCGGATTGGTCACCGTCAGGTCGTCGCCGACCACCTGAATGGAGACGCTGCCGGTGATGGCCACCCAGGCGGCCCAGTCGTCCTGCTCAAAGGGGTCCTCGATGCTGACCACGGGGTAGTCGCGGATGAACTCCCAGTAGAGCATCGACAGGCCCTTCGAGTCGACCAGCTGCTTCGGTGCACCGGTGTTGCTGCTCTTGAAGTCCAGGTCGTACTTGCCGTCGGCGTAGAACTCCGAGGCGGCGACGTCCATGCCGATGTCGATGCGGCCGGTGTAGCCGGCCATAACAATGGCCGCCTTCACCAGCTCCAGCGCCTCCTTGTTGCTCTGAATGTTGGGCGCAAAACCGCCCTCGTCGCTGACAGCGGTCGCATCGAGGCCGTACTTCTTCTTGATGACCGACTTCAGGTGGTGGTACACCTCGGTGCCCATGCGCATCGCCTCGCTGAAGCTGGCGGCGCCGGTGGGGAGGATCATGAACTCCTGCATGGCCAGCTTTTTGCCGGCGTGCGAGCCCCCGTTGATGACGTTGAAGGCCGGCACGGGCATGATGAAGCCCTTGGCGCCCACCAGATCGCCCAGGTGCTGGTACAGGGGGACGCCCTTCTTTGCGGCGCCCGCCTTGGCCGCCGCCATTGACACGCCCAGAATTGCGTTGGCACCCAGAGTGCTCTTGTTCTCGGTGCCGTCCAGTTTGCAGAGCAGATCATCCACGGCGGCCTGATTGCTGACGTCAACATTCTAAAGTGCGAGTTAGTAAACGATCAATCAAACTCAAGTAGTTAGCACACTCACCGAGCCGACCAGCTTGGGGGCGATGATCTGGTTGACGTTGTTGATGGCCTCCATCACCGACTTGCCGTGGTACTTGCTCTTGTCATTGTCGCGCAGCTCCAGCGCCTCGTGCACTCCAATGCTGGTGCCGCTGGGCACTGCAGCGCGAAAGGTCCCATTCTCGGTGGTCAGGTCAACCTCGATGGTTGGGTTGCCGCGAGAGTCAAAGATCTGACGGGCGAAGCACTTTTGTATATGCATTTCTGCTGTTGGTGAAGATGAGTGATTAGGAAAAAAAGAATGAAGATTAAAAAGAAGATGCTTTGGCTGAAAAGCGCTCAAAACACCACATCATAAACTGAACCAATCACTTACCAGTTGTTTGATGTGCCCTCGCAGATGGTTTGATTTTGGATCCCGCGACTGCTCAGTTCACTGCTCAATGTCGAAGTTGTTCTGTTCACTGCAAAGGGTGGCGATGAGAATCCAGGCAAGTGAGCTGACGACGATGAGCAAGACTTGAAAGACCGATCTTATATTGTCACTCGAGAAGCAGCAGTGCTGCATATGGGCACGGCAACGCCGATCGGCACTCATTCAATAACAAAGCAACTGGGCGGCCAAAGTGGTAAGTCAGTCACAACAAGTGGCACTGCTATCAGTACCGCCATCACATTCACTCAGTTCATCATCTTCAGCAGTCGATGCAGCTTATCGCTCAGCATAAGTGCGCGTGAATCATCATCAGCAGCAGCAGTTGAGTCAGTCAGTGTTCAGCGACCACCAGAGACGCCAGCTCTAGCAGCAACTTTAAAATTTGTAAAAGAAAAACTAAAAAAGCCCAGCTTGGAAAAGCATAAAAGCAGAAAAGGGCAAATTAATTGAAAATCGGTCACTGTGCACATTGAAAGTGAGTGCCGAAGTGCACAGCAGCAGCAGCAGCAGCAGTGCTCTGCCCCTACTACTGCTGTGCGAGGAACTGCCAGGGACTGTTGTCGAGGGGACACACCTGGCGGGTCTTCACCCAGCGGCTGATGCAGTGGAAGTGGAAGGCGTGCTGGCAGACGCCCCAGGCGATGCGGCAGTTGCCCTCCTCGTCCACGCCCTGGCTGCCCTCCTTCACCGCCTGCTTCAGCGAGGGCTGACACTCGATGCAGACGTCGATGATGAGGTTGCGGCAGATGGCACAGTTCTCCACCACCGTGTCCCAGGCCCAGAAGGCGACGCCCGACCAGCTCTTGACGGTGAAGCGCTGCTGGACGGCGGTGCTGGCTGCCGTCGATGCTTGGCCGGTGGTGGCCCCCTCTGCGAGCTTCATGCTGCCGTTCTCCGAGGGCTGCTCAGTGAAGGAGAGCTCCAGTGCACTTTGGTAGTCGCTGGTGCTGCTGCTAGAGCTGGTGCTGGTCGAAGCAGCACCACCAGTGGCTGCTTGCCCACGCTGTTGCTGTTGTTGTTGCTTCTGCTGGCCATTGCCTTTGACCTTCCTTTTGCTTAAAAATCTGCCGGGAGTTTTTCAACGAAAAGGTTAGTGTGTCTGATCTGCTGAAAAAGATACCTGGTGTACGTACCGTCGCATAGTGCAACTGCAGCAGCTCGCAAAGTTACTATACTCTCTACACTAAATAATGAGCGAGTAATGGTCGATGCACTGCTTTTTGTACTTTTGCGGAAACTTCTAATTTTGTGTACAACAGTGGTAAGTGTGTGTGTCATAGCTTGATTTTCAATTTCGAACTTCTGCTAGCAGTGCTGGTGCTACTTTTACTTCTGCTCTCGCCACCTCTGAGCGACAGCTTTGTCTTGACTCCTGTTGATAGGCGTCTGGACCCTTTCCCAGCAGATTTGCCGCCGGCCTTCCCTGTGCCCTTCAGACAGGGCACCCTCTTGAGGAAGCTGCTGGAGTGCGGGTGGCCACCCTGTACGTGGTGGAGGT